ATGAGCTTCGGCGGGTGGCTCGCGCAAGAGGCCCAGCACACCGCGTCGCAGGGGGCGCTCCTGTGGGCGGCGCGGACAGAGTGCCCGCCGTGCACCTGCAAGCCTTCGTTGGCGTGCGGCGCGGGCCAGGAGGCCCTGCGGCTGGATTGCCCGGCGCCAGCAGGGGCCTGGCCACTGTCGGCCGTGCTGCTGGCCCTGGTCTGCGGGCTTGGGGCAGGCGCGGCTCTGGGGCGGCTGTTCGCGCCGCCAGCGCCGACCCAGACGGCTACCCGATTCGAGAGGCTCGAGGAGGAGGCCCGTGCCCAGGCCGCCCTCGTGAGGGCGCGGCTGCAGAGCCAGTGACTCGATGTCCGCGGCGGCCGTTGCCGCCGCGGGCCATCCCCTCGCCACCCTCGGACTTGACGAAGGCGACTTCGTGCTGATCAGGTACCAGGTGGGAGGAGCGCGGATCTGGCATGAGCGCCTCCTCCTGGCCTTCAAGGCCACCGCCCCCTTCGGCACGGGCATTTTGACGCCGGACGGGCACGGGTACGTCGAGGCCATCACCACCGGCGACGTCGACGTCGCGGACTTCTGTGTCCCCGCAGGCGGCGCGGCGGGGGGTGCCTCGGCAGCGACAGGCGGCGACCAGGTGTGCCACTTTCGGGCGCTGCCCCTGCCTGCCGCCGTGGCGGACGCCGCCAGCTCCACCCGAGCGTCGCTCGGCCTGGCCCCAGGCCCCCCAGTGGCCCTGAACACCGCCGGCCGCGTCATCGGCGCCGTCGCCCCCGCGGCGGCTGCTCCCGGCGCCGGGGGCGCTGCTGGCGGCCCTGAGGCTGGGGGCTTGGCGGGGCTCGCGGCGGCGCTCGGAGGGGGGGCTCCTGGGGCCGGAGAAGCACCTGCTGCTGGAGGTGCCGCCAGCGCTTTGGTGCCCGCTGCAGCGCCCGCGGCGGCCGCGCCTGGAGGCGCCCTGGCGCCGATGATGGTCGCGGCACCAGCAGCTGGCGCCCCTCAGGCAGCGGTCCCTGCTGCTGGCGCTGCCCCGGCCGCCGCCCCCTGGCCGCCTTGGTTGGAGCGCCCGGCGCTCCTTGCCTGGGCGCGGGCGGTCTGGCGAACGCTCTCGCGGCGGTCGCGGCAGCCCCGGGCGGCGACGCGAGGATGCAGGCAGTCGTCTTGGACCCACAGGGCGTTCGCTACATCGACTTTAGGGCTGCCGCGGTGCGCATGCACGAGCTGCCGTGGGCCGACTGGCCGCTCAAGGGCCCTCGTACTCTGCTGTGGGTGCTGAACTACATATGCCGCAATGGAGGCACACCACTCGGGCGACATCTTAAGTGGAAGGTCGAGGCGTACTTGGACGAGGAGGATCCTGGCGTGGACGTACACCTCTTGTGCTGCAGGTTGCTCGAGTACGGCGTTGTGTACGATCAAGTTCATGCGACGAACCTGGCCTCCATGGAACTGGTCGGCCGCACGCTGCAGACCCAGGAGGAGCTCTACCGGGACAGGTTTGCGACGTCCTCCGAGCACGGCAACGACGCTGCTCTGCTATCCGGCGTCCAGGACGCTGGCGGCAGCATCTGCATGGCCCCGGCGCTGCGCGACTGGCTGGCAGCCGAGAAGTCTCGCGAGGCTGCCATCGCCAAGGAGAGGCGCAAGGCTCGGGAGGAGCGTGCGCTGGCTGCTGGGACAGGCGCTGCTGGTTCTGGCGGCGCCGACGGGCGCGGCGGCCGCGGCCGTGGCGGCCGGGGCCGCGGGCGTCGAGGCCGCGGGGGCGGCGGAACCCCCAGCGGGGATGCTTGACGAACCGGGGGGGGGGCAGATGGGCCAGCCTCTCCCTGGGACAGCAGCGCGGCTCGGACCGCAGGCCCCCGGCCGCCTGGGACTGGTCGCCAGCGCGACGTTTTCCCACTGCCCGTCTCGCCGGCTGCAGCTCCGCGCGGGGTGGAGCCTGTCGGCCGCCGCTCAGCTCGGCGCAGTGGTCTTCGTGCCCATCGTGAAGATCGCGCGCGGGCCGCCACCAATGCACTGAATTCACTCTATGGCTTTGAGTCCTCGCCCGCAGCTCCGGCACACGAAGGGCAGCGCCAAGCCATCATGCACATAGAGAGCAGCATCAGGGAGTTGGGCGCGCCGCCGCCCGAGTTCACCGACATTCGTGCTGCTCAAGACGGAGCCTTCCGAGAGCTCCTCTCCTGCGCCAACCTGCACGGGTCTGGCGCCGCCTCGCCATCTCCTTACGTCCGCGACCGCGTCGCATGGCCCGCTGGTGGCGCTGCGCCCGTCGACCTGATCGACCTCGCGCAGCCTCAGGACAGGGCGTGGCTGGAGGGATGGCAGAGCCATATGCTTCGAGATCGGCACGCCGCCGAGGCCCTGGCACAGTCAGCCTGCCCACGCGGGCCCTACTGCGACCCGGGCCTGGTTCGGGACGCGAGTATCTACGGCCAGTTTTTGATACAGATGCACCAGAGGCAGATGGTCACCTTCGCGGCGGACAACGGCCTGCCGCACTCCGTCGGCCTCTTTTTCGCCCCCAAGAAGTCGGGGGCCCTCCGAATCATCTTCGACACGAGGGCCGCCAACTGCAAGTTTTTGGATTCACCGGCTACCAGGCTTCCTTCTGCCGCGTCGTTCGGCTCTATCGAGGCCCCAGCCGATGGCATGCACATCTCGACGTGCGACTTGGAGTGCGCGTTCTACCACATGCGGCTGCCCTGCCGGATGGAAACGATGTTTACCTTACCTTCGATCTCGGCGGCCATGCTACAGGAGCTTGGCTTAATCGACTTGGATTTCGACCCGTCCACACGCGCGACGCCCATGGTGACCGTCCTCCCGATGGGTTTTTCGTGGGCGCTGCACTTCTGCCAGTCCGCAGCGCGCGCAGTCCTAGCTGCGAGCGGCCATGAGAGGACCATGACCGCGCTGGACGGTCAGCCTGGCGCGGTGGTCACTGACCCCGTCTCTGTCGGCGTCGGCGCCTACGTCGACAACATCTTGGCCTTCGGCGCTGACAGGAGCGCGGTCGACCGGGCCATGGCTCGGCTCGCGGCCGCCTTTCGCGCCCGAGGGCTGCCAGTGCACGAGAGCGAGCCCGCCGCACGGGACGCGGAGTTCTTGGGCCTCAGCCTGAAGCACGGGAGGTTCCTGCGCATCAAGCCGCGCAACATCTGGCGGCTGCACGCAGCGATCTCAGGGCTCCTGCGTCGTGGCTGGTGCAGTGGCCACATGGTGCGGGCAGTTTTGGGGCGCGCCACATGGTCGTCGACGATGCGCCGCGAAGCCTTCACTGTGCCCCGCAGCGCCTACAGCTTCGCGGCGGCGCACGGCGAGAGGCAGGGCAGGATATGGGCGTCAGCGGCAAAGGAGCTGGTCACCATTCGGGATCTGCTGCCCCTCCTGCACTGCGACCTCGCATCTGGCTGGCACCACACGGTGACGGCCAGCGATGCGTCGCCCTTCGGGCTCGGGGTGATGCGGCGCCGCGCACCTCGCGCCGTCTGCGCCGCTGTGGGCCGTTGCTCAGAGAGGTGGAGGTTTAGAGTTGAGGGCGGGCACCAGGCCCGCATTCGATCACTGCGAGAGGGCGGTCTAGACCAGCCCAGCCCTGCGTCAGAAAATGCGGCCCCTGCTAACTGCCACTCTACCTCTGAGCGCTTGAAGCCAGACGTCCAACATGACAGCCCTGCGGGCCTCCATTCACGCCCGCCGCCTTCGGGCACATCCGATGCCCGTCGTGACCCACAAGGCCAGCACGGGGGCCCGCACGGGGAGCTCATGGGCCAGCATGTGGACCCCTACGAGGAGCTCACGGGCAAGCACGAGGACCCCTACGACTCCATGGGCCAGCACGGGGAACCCTACGATGAGCTCATGGGATTCAACGAGGTGCTCGCTCAGCCTCCCAGTGGCGCCACGCGGGCTCATCCTGATGCAGTTTTGGGCGACCCCTGGGAGATGGACGAGGTCCCCGGTCATATCACTCGGGAGGGTGCTTGGAGTTCGGTATCAGCCCAGTCGGTCTCTACGGGGGCCAACATACTCTACTTGGAGGAGGAGGCCCTGGTCACGTCGCATCGGCATCAGCTCCGCAGTCTGGGCGCTCATGGGGCACGCTTGGTCGCACTCGTCGACAACCTCCCGCTGGCTCTCGCCTGCGCGAAGGGGAGGGTTCGGTCACAACATTTGAGGTCGCGCTTGAATCAGTTGTGCGCGTTGTCGCTCGCCACGGGCCCGAGGCTCTTCGTTCGCTGGATCGCCCCAGAGACCCAGCTGATCCCCTCAGCCGAGGGAAGCTCGGCTGGTTCAACGGCCATCGTCAGCTCAGTCATGCGAGGACTCGCCATGGGCGCCGCGGTGCTCGCGCCGCTGTTCACGCACCCGCGCGAGGCGCGGGCCACGCCGCGACGGGCGGGGCCTACGCCCTCAGCCCGGACGCGCCACCGCGCGAAGCTGGCGTCGGCAGCGGCACGCGGGCGGACGCTTGTGGGCCCCATGACGCTCCTGGAGCAGCTGGCGGCGCGGCCGACCACGGAGGCCCTCTATCGCCAGCTCCTGCAGACGTTCATCGCGCACTGCTCGGACCGCCGCCGGGACTGGGGCAACCTGAGCGAGTTAGACGACCTGCTCGCCGAGTACTTCACCCCTCGGTACATCTCGGGGGCGGCGGCGAGCGTCGGGTCGCAGACTGTCGCGGCGCTGGCGCACTTCACGCCCGGGATCCCGAGGCAGGCGAGCTCGCTCCTGCCCGTAGGCGTGGCGGAGGCGAACCCCAACCCTCACGCGGTTGCCGATCCCTCGGGCGGTCATGTTTGCGCTAGCTGGCGCCCTGATCGCCTGGCAGCAGGCGCCCATGGCAGCGTGGCTGACGATCGCGTTCTCAGCTTACCTCAGGCCTGCCGAGGCTCAGCGGCTCACGACAGACTGCATATCGCAGCCGTCAGCGATGGCAGGTCCAGCTCACCAGTTTCGGGGCTTGCTGCTGCACCCGGCGGACCGCGGTCAGGCGGGCAAGACGGGCTCCTTCGACGAGTCGATCCTCTTCGACCTCGACCTGTATATTGGTGCCGGTGCTCATGGCCCTCCGTTGCAGAGGGGTCCGGGCACGCCGCTGTGGAGCTTCTCCCTCTCGGAGCTGAACAGGACGTTCGCGCCGGCAGCGGTGGCGCTTGGGGCCTCCCAGCTGCGCCCTCACATGCATGGCATGCGACACGGAGGGGTGAGCGACGATCTGCTGCCCCAGCGGAGGTCGCAGGAGCAGGTCTTCCGTCGGGGGCGCTGGGCCGTGCCGCCCTCAATGCGGCGGCATGCCAAAGAGACGGCCCTCTTGCGCGAGCTGCAGGGTGCCCACCCAGACGCGCATGCGTTCGGCGACCTGGTCGCGCAGAACTTCTGCTTGCCGGTCGAGAAGGGCTTCCTCGGCGCCAAGCTGCAGCAGCTCATCCCGGCCAGCCTGGCGGCCGCCGTCCTGTCCGGGCCAGACAGCAAGCCCAGGCGGGTGAGGCGGCGCCCTGCCGGCCGCGCCTGAGCGCGGCCAGCCCCGCCGGCAGCGCCGCTGGCGCCTGCGCCAAGCGGACGCAGCCGCCATTGCGGGGCCCCGAGTGCGCCGATCACCCGCGGCGACGTTTCAGAGCTGCCGTCAGCCGGGGCCCCCTGTGCCGGCGGCGCGTCGTGTTGGAATTTTTCAGCGGCAGCGGGCATTTCGCGGCCGCCGCCCGCCGCCTGGGCCTCTCGGCGCTCGGCCTGGACGTCCGGCAGTCGCCTCTGGAAGACCCTCTGCCGCGACTTCGAGCGGGTGGTGACCGGCTGGCTCCGCAGCCGCGCAGTCGCGGCGGTCTTCCTCGGAACGCCGTGCACGACGCGGTCGCGGGCTCTTCGGAGGCCGCTCAGGACACGCACCCAGGCCATGGGCATCAGCGGCCTCTCGACCTCTGAGGCCGCGAGGCTGGCCACAGGCAGCGCTTCTTTTTATTTCACATGCCGCATCATCCGCGTGCGTTGCACGCTTAACATACCAGCGCTGCTTGAAAATCCCGTCAGCTCTTTGATGTGGCATGCCAAGCCCCTTGCGTCCATCATCATCTCAAAGAACGCTCGTGCGTGCGATTTTGACCAATGCCAATTCGGGACCTCCTGGCAGAAACGCACTAGGATCGCGGCTTGGCAGACGGGGCCACTCTTCGGTCTCGATCGGCTCTGCGGAGGCCGCAGGGGGATTTGCTCTCGCACTGGCAACCGACACACAATTCTCACAGGCCAGGCCCCTGAGGGCTGTAAATACACTGCATTGGCTGCCGCCTACCCCGCTAAACTGCGCACTGCGTTGGCTAGAATTGTCAGAGACGCTGCATTGCAGAGGCCTAGGCAGGCCATGGCTGACTTAGTATGCAAGTCGCCTTCCTAATCACATCGAGCTGCCATTTAAACTCTTCGGCCCTGTCGCCACAGCTTCCTGGCCAGTACTTCCTTATGGGGTTTGGGACCTCATCTGCGTGTGCCTCGCCTGCTGCACGTTCGGTGGTCAATGCCTGTACCTCTCGTCTCCGGCAGTCTATCCTGCCGCCGCCTGGCTCGTGCTTCACACATATGATGAAGAAGAAGCGAGTTGCCCATCGTCGGTCACGTCTGCTGCTGTCATCATTTCTGTTCTGGCACTCGTCGAATCGGGGCGGGCTGGGCAGTTTTCACAACGTCATGCAGAGCCCGGGGTTGAGAGCGCCGCACTTCTCGAATGCCAGCCCGCGCTCCCCGCCGGCAGTTGTGCTCAAGTGCACCCACCCGCATGCCGCCCTCACTTGAATATGTTTAATTTCGCCCTTCTTCTTTGGGACCTCATCTGCATGTGCCTCGCCTGCTGTACGTTCGGCGGTCAATGCCTGCACCTCTCGTCTCCGGCAGTCTATCCTGCCGCCGCCTGGCTCGTGCATCACACATATGATGAAGAAGAAGCGAGTTGCCCATCGTCGGTCACGTCTGCTGCTGTCATCATTTCTGTTCTGGCACTCGTCGAATCGGGGCGGGCTATATACATATATGAATATAATATAATTATATATATATATATATATATATATATAATATATACATACATACATATATATATATCGACCGCGGGCGCCTCGCACGCGGCCATCCGCCCCCCCCCCCCCCCGCCCGGGCCCCCTTCGCACCGCGCGCCGCGCCAGGCAGGTTAAGCAGCTGAAGTGTTCAAGGAAGCCAGAACATATACACACACATATATATATATACATAAATATAGACATGTATACAGGCATCTACACATACCTACATGCATACATACGTACATATATATGTACATACATACATACAGACATACATACATGCATACATGCATACAGACATACATACACATGCATGCATGCATACAGACAGACAGACAGGCACACGTACACACAGACGTACATACATACACACATGCACACATGCATGCATGCAAATATGCCGACATGCATGTGTACAAATACAAATACAAATACAAATACAAATACAAGTACAAGTACAAATACAAATACAAATGCAAATACAAATACAAATACATATACATACATACGTACATACATACATACACACATACATGCATACACACCTGCATATACATATAGAGAGAGATGCAAACATGCATATATAGATATGTGTATATATACATATATATATATATACATAGATATATATATATACATATATAGATATATAGATATATATATATATATATATATTATATATATATAATATATATATATATATTATACATGTGGGAGGCGGGGTGCCCTGGCCGCGCCCAGGGCCCTCCGCGCGGCAAGGGGGGGCCGGGCTTCCGGAAACGCCCCCAGACGGCCCAAGCCCCCAAAACAGGACACCAGGGCCCCAAGGGGTTCAAAACGCTCTTTGAGAGCCGAAAGTCGCCGAAATCCCGCCCCAAGACGCCCACGATGGCTTCCGGGCGGCCCAGGGGCCACCAAGACGCCCCAAGGAGCCCCCAAGAGGCTTCCCAAGAGTCGCCCAAAGGCACAAGTGCTGGATTTTCCGTTTAGTTTTGAAGGATTCAAGTATACTCAGGCGAGGCTCAAGTACACTCAGGCGAAGGGGCGTGAGCGGCCCTGACATACTTACAACTTTGCATCTCTCGCTCCAGATGGCGTCCAATGACAAGTCTGGAAAGAAGAAAGCGGATTCGGGAACCGGTTCGAGCCCGAAAGACAAGAAATTCAAGGCGGAAGAAGAAGAGAAGGAAGTAGTGGATGAAGGCATGGAAGGAGGGGATGAGGACATGAGCGAGAAGGAGATGATGAAGACGATGATGAGCATGATGAAGGAAATGAAGAACGACGCGAAAAAACACGAGGAAGGAGGTGAAAGAGGCGAAAGACATGGCGCAGCATGCCAAGTACGCCGCGAGCACGGCAGAGGAAGCGGTGAATAAAGTCAAGGGGGGGATGAACATCATCAGGGACAGCACTATTCAAAAGGCCGACTTACCAAATATAGCGAAAGATATCGTGATGGAGCATGCGGGGGGAAGTGGGAAATTTACAGGTCAAGTCAATTACACACAGCAGGAGGAGGAGCGTACGAGACAGGCAATTGCCTTAGGCTTTGCCGCTCACGTGGAGGCGTCGAACATCATCGCTGACATCGAGGGTAAGTTGGAGACCTTGCTCGGCGAAGATACCAGCGCTAAGGTAACAGCACCGAAAGATCCAACCAAACTCGCATTGATTACCTCCGACTCCGTGCCGGAGAAGATCACCTTCTACAAAAAGCTCCGGGACGTTGACAGCAAGGCGATGTTTGGGAAGGTATTCTTCAAAAACAACCTGACGCGTGAGGAGCGAGCACGCGAGAAAAGGCTGGGGCACATGAAACACCATCTTTCTGATCACGACAGCTGCAAAGATACAACAGTTAAAATCATCTGGCCAAAAAACATTGTCGCAACGAGGGATGGGCAGGGCAAGGAGAGGAAGGTAGCTCGGCACGACGAGGAGGGGAAGTGGCACACAACAGCGACAGGAAAGGCAGTGGAGAAGGCAGCGGAGGACTCGATGAGGAAGTGGTTGGCGAAGGTGAACGCGGAGCCGGCCACGGAGAGCGAGGAAAGCGAGTGACCGCGCGATGGAGCGCGCGGCCGGGACACGCGCGCAGGGGGAACCAGTACCAGTTCAAGGACGGCTTCTCTCAAGGGGGGAGGGCGTGGAGCACTCCAACACGTAGATGGCGATTTTCCTATATCAGCGCTGAAACACTCGCTGCCGGAAGGCTCGAAGTTGCCGCCGATGGAGGAATTACCGAATTCTGGGCATGACGAATTACGCATTTTCCAAATCAATGTTCGAAGTTTGACTTCTGATGATCGGATCGCAGAGCTCCTAAAGGAACTTGACGGGGCGACGTGGGACCTGATGAGTGTGAACGAAACTTGGGGAAGAGAGAGAACGGAATTATTCACGGTGGATGGTGGCCATGTGTTTCTTGGATGCGGCTGGGACGGCACTGGCCGAGGAGTCGCACTTCTGGCGAATAAGCGGCGGGCGAACTGCATCCGTAATTTTACACGGCTTTCGGAGAGAGCGCGCTTCGCAGATATAGTCTCTGATTATTTTCGTGTTCGTTTTGCGTCCACTTATTTTCCGCACTCTGGCTACGCAGACTCCCACGTGCAGCATTTGCACGACATGCTGTCCAAAACGCGTAAGGAGGCCAGAACCAAACGACTCCGATTCGTTCTCGCTGGGGATTTCAACGCAGAAGTGGGCAGCAGAGAAGAAGGTGATTCAAATATCTTGATATCTTGATAGATTCAAAATGTTTGGGAAGCTTGATAGATTCAAAATGTCTGGGAAGCTTGACAGCTTCTGGAACAACCCAGTGTCTCAATGTGGGGAGTGACCACAAATATGTTCATCTGTCTATGCGCATAGGCCACCGGGCGCGTCGAGACAAGAAGTCGCAGAAGCCAGCTGTTGATTGGTCATGCGTTGATATCTCTACATATGTTGTCAAAGTGCGAGAAGCTTGTGGCGATTGGACTGCCCCAGAGAACGCGGATGCAATGTGCGATAATATTGAAAGCCTAATGGTGGATGCCGCCGGCAGGGCCCAAGGAGCTCGCGGCGACCCTCGGCCGAGTGACCGTAGAGATACCGATCTGCAACGTCTTTTGGAACAGAGAAAGGCAATGGCGAACTCTTGTGGCGAGGGGAAGACATTGAGCAAGCAAATTTCCAGCGAGGTCCGCGCAATGCGAAGAGCCACTTCGACAGAACGAATTAACGACATCTTGGAGTCGTTTCGAGGTGTACGCCAAATCCCGAAGGTTAGAAATATCGAAAGGAAGAGCTTGATTTCCCACACGGTTGACGACGACGGGAACACGATCACTGACAGGAAATCGATTGCAGATGTGTTTGCCGACTTTTACGCGCAGCTCTATCGCGAAGATGATACTCAAGAGCCAGCTGACCAGGAGCACAACGTCAAGAGCCCAATTCCCGAGTTTACTTTTAGCAGAGCTCCGAGCGCAGATCAAAAAACTGAAGCGTGGGAAATGCAAGGACCAAAAGGGAGTCATTGCCGAAATGATCAAGCATGGCGGCGAACATTTGGAGCTTTTGATATTGAAGTTGTTCGCCGACATCATACCGGCAACTGGCGCTCCACCAAGCAGCTGGAAGAAATCTACAGCTTCTGTCTTACATACGTCTGGAGACGCAACACATGCTCGCAATTACAGGCCCATCACGGTCATACCATTATTGTATAAGCTTTTTGCCAAACTACTGCACTCTCACTTGTTTCCTGTTCTCGACACGCGCCAAGGAGTTGATCAAGCAGGCCCCCGTCCAGATGTGGGTACGACGCACCATTTGTTCGCGGTCGCAATGTTGCAAGAGAAGTGCCATGAACGGCAACAGTGTGCATGAATCTCTGCAATCTACTTCCAGAAAGCATTCGATTCGGTCAAGCACAAATGCATATGGGAGGCTCTGGAAAGACAGGGCGTCACAGACGGATACGTTCAATTGCTGAAGAGTTTGCATTCTGGGCAATCGGGAAGAGCACGCACCGACCGCATGAGCAAGGAGTTCGACATCTTGCGCGGCACCAAGCAAGGCGACCCGCTCAGCAGCTTGCTATTTAACGCAGTCCTGGAAGATATCTGTGCTGAGGTCAAGCCAGCTTGGGAAAAGAAGTCGTGGGGAGTGAGAATGGGTCACAGCAAGCACCGGCAGCTTACCAATCTACGCTTCGCAGATGACGTTTTGCTCATTCGAACGCCCTTACGTCAACTCAAAATCATGTTAAATGATCTACAGCAGGCTGCCCAAAAACGTAGATTGCTATTCCACCCAGACAAGACGAAAATCGTGACGAACGCAACCAAAGGCACCAGGCGCCCAAGAACATCGCACGTTGAAGTCGGAGACATGAACATTGAGATTATGCCGTACGAGGAGAAAACGAAGTACTTGGGAAGGAAGTTATGCTTTGATCGACCACACGACGTTGAAGTTGATCACCGGATCAACAT